ATTCAGGGGTCGGGCTGACAGGCGGTGTTATTCAACGTGCGCAGAACCCAGGCGGGGAAACAAAAAGGACCCATCGAAAACAGTTTTTTTGCGAAAAAAAAACTCAGCTATCGCTCCTTTTTTTTTTCGCACGCGCGCTTCGCGCGCGGAAAAAACTCCTAAATTTAAAACAGTTTTTTTGCGAAAAATNACTCCTAAATTTAAAACAGTTTTTTTGCGAAAAATAAACTCCGCTATCGCTCCGTTTTTTTTTTCGCATGCGCGCTTCGCGCGCGAAAAAAACTCCTTAAACGAAAAAATATATACTTAAGGAGAAATAAATACACGCACAGAAAGACTACCCATTCGAGATATACCCATACTTCTTCTAGTCGGAAATATAAGATCGGTTGGGAAAAATAGGGGCTATCTATCTCGATCCCACTACAATATTTTCGCGAACCGTTTTTTTCCTTGGTTTCGCCGCGTTACGCGGGGCACACAGAACCGGGCTCCTTTTGACAAGTCCCGCTAAAAGGTTGGTCCTACCCCAGCAGAAGCCACTCGAAATCAACACCCCAACTAACTTTGAACCTCCGGTCAAGAGCCTTCCCATCTGCTGGCGAGGCATGTCCGCTGCAGGGGGTGCCTCCCAGGTAGGGGTCAAAACGCAAGGGGTGCCTCCCAGGTAGGGGTCAAAACGCAAGAATCTCAACAGTTTGGTTGGAAAGAGAAGAAGTGATTCGGCACCTCCTCGCCGGGAGCAACGTAATGTTCCAAGATTGCTTCCATTCTTATTTTCAGTTTCTTTATAGCGTCTAGATGCAAAACGTCTTTTTGATCTGAACTGTAAATGTATAAGATCTATTTCTATAATAATTAATCCGAGATGTCTATTTATTTGTATTTTATTTTACTAATGATTAGTTCCTGCGCAGCATGATTCTATACGACAGGTAAATGAGGTTATTGGCTCTTTTCAAAACAATTTCTTACATAAAAATTTAGAGAAATATCTAAACCCAAAAATAAACGAGACGAGAATGGTCTGATGATGATGTTGAAATAATAGCTCTTCAGCCTATCTATTGATATTGTAGGGAACGAAGAACTAAAATTAAGATGCTAAAAGAAGACCTAAAAAATTAATGTTAATTGAATATTGTTGTAGTATTAAGTCAAAGTCTGGAAATTTTTCGTTTATGTCAAAATCCTTGAAGAAAAAAAAGTTCAATGTTTATATAAAGAGTACAAATAGAAATAAGTATTTATTTCAACATCAGAACCATTCTCGTTTATTTTTGGGTTTATTTAGATATTTCTCTAAATTTTTATGTAAGAAATTGTTTTGAAAAGAGCCAATACCAACAGGGTTTTCGCACGATTGAGAGCGAAGTTTCCGATTGAGAGCGAGAACCCAAAAAAAATCGAAATTCGGGTCCAGACGCCTCCCGTCATTTCTCGGGAAGCAGGGGATGGGCTCTTCCAAAAAGCGGCGCAAATTGAAGCTCTCTTCAGCAGCTTCGCGTGCATATGCGTGTCACTGCGATCGGCTGCAGCAGCGAGGAGCTACGCACATTGCTAGATTTCCCTAGATTGGCTATTCCTGCCCGAAACTGTTTCAGGGCGCCGTCGCCTGGCGCGGTAGGCCCTCCCGTAGCTTCTGCTCCGCGGTGTAGCTCCACAACGCGAGACACCCGCAGGATGACCCGGGTATCGGCTTGTGGCTATGGGCAAGCCCTTCAATTCAAGCCGCACAGAAAGCTCTACCTCTCAGCAGTAGACAAGCTACATCGTATCGCACGATCTCGCTCTCAATCAGATACTTCGCTCTCAATCGTGCGAATATGTTGTTTACCCTCATTTATCTGTCGTATAGAATCATGCTGCGCAGAAACTAGTCAATACAGTCGAGGGACCCTTTTAGTGCCGGTACGTGCACAGAGCGTTCACCGGCACTAAATCGGGCACCCGGCACTATTGCGAATAGTGCCAAAACGGCACTATTGAGGGCTGGCCAATCCCTCATTAGTGCCGGTACCGGCACTAATGAGGTTGTGTTCGATTTATGGTGTAGCGCCCACGCTTACGGGGCCAACAAAGAACGAAATGGATCGACACTATTTATTACTGTACTGTTGAGTGAAGTTCCAGCATGGGCGTGGGCAGAGTTGAGTTTTCTTTTTGTTGTCTTGGGGCGCTCTTTGGTTCTTCATTTTCTTCTGCACCTCACTTATTTGCTTATTTGTGTACTGTCGTCGGGACAAATTCTCTCCTGTTTGCCTGGCGCACCCGCTTCGATGTTGCAAGAAAAAAAAAATGACATGCACGACGGGCAGCGCACCGCAAAAATCAAACAACCGTTTTTTTAGTGCCACAGCTGTTCCCCGCCCTTACTCCGTAGCAACAAACTCCCTCATGTCTGCCTGGCGCACCCGCCTCTTGGAATGCGCTGCAATCATCGCCATCTTCGCTTTCGCTAGGTAGAGCGCCGCGTCTCCATTGCCGCTCTCCTCTGCTGCCGCTTCCAGGACGCCGAAGTGAGACGACAGTTCACCATAAGCCGGTGGGACACGGCGCGCGAGCCCCGTGTTGTCATCGCCGCTGTCCTCCTCCTCGTCCTCCTCCTCGCGGCCGGTAGACACTCGAGTCCCAGCCAGCTGTGCCGTCATGTCTTCCACCGTATCCTCTCTGAGAGCCTCAACCACTTCATCGTCGTCCTCGATGGTAGCCCACCCTTGAATCGCGTTCACCGCTTCCTCCAGGAGCGGCTTTCCGGGTTCGATGCGGAGTTCGGCGATGAGTTCGGCGATGTCCTCGTCCTCGATTTGGGTACCCTGCTTGTGCGCCTCGTGCACGCTCGTGCTCAACGTGTTGAGAGTCTCCGTGAGAGCCTTCAAGGTAGGCTCGGCGACGTGGAACTGGGACTTTCCGTGTTGCTTGGTGAGCTCAGCACGTTTTTCTTGCTTCCTCCGCGTCCTGCCGCAGCCTCGGTCTCGTACTTCTTCCTGTTCTTCTTCACATCCCGGACCAACCGTTCCGAGCACTTGAAGCGATCTGCTAGCTGCTCATGAGTCACCTTCTGATCCATCAGCTTCAGCATCTCACACTTGGCGCTGAAATCTGGCCGCGCACGAGGCTGAGACTTGTTACTCCCCCCATTCGTGGCCTTCGGACGTTTAGATTGTGCCTTCCCAGTGCTGTCTGCTGCTGACACTTTGCGCTTGCCGGCTTTGGCGACGCNGTGTGTTTTTATTATTAGCATCGACCGCGCTAACCGGCTGACCAATGAAAAGACGTCAGTCTTAGTGCGGTTGAAAACACAAAACACTTCTATCTACCATGAACTGGGACCCCGTGAGGGGCGTGNTGCGGAGTACCGGCACTATTGGGGGTGACAGCAGTGCCGAACCGGCACTATATCGGGCATGCTTTGATTAGTGCCGGTCTGGCACTATTGAGAGCTCCGCCTGTGTGCAGAGATTTTACCGGCACTATACCGGGCATCTGGCACTATTCAACCGGCACTAAAAGGGTCCCTCGACTGTATATAATACAAATAAATAGACATCTCGGATTAATTATTAGAAATAGTCTAGATCTTTTACATTTACACTTCAGATCAAAAGACGTTTTGTATCTAGACTGTAAAGAAACTAAAAATAAGAATAGAAGCAATCTTGGACCATTGCGTTGCTCCCAGCGAGAGGTGCCGAATCACCTCTTCTCTTTCCAAACTGTTGAGATTCTTGCGTTTTGACACCTGGGAGGCACCCCCAGCAGCGGACATGCCTCGCCAGCAGATGGGAAGGCTCTTGACCGGAGGTTCAAAGTTGGGGTGTTGATTTCGAGTGGCTCGCTGAGGGAGGTAGACGTGTAGTGTGTGGATTGTAAACGTACAGCAGTGGTGGTGCCGAGGAAGGTCAAAGAAGGAGCAAATTAATTTGGAAATGCTGTAAACAATGTAATGCATGGTGAAGGACGATGTTCAGAGCGTCGGCTTGGTGCGATCACCGCTGCTGTAAAGAGCGACGTTTCAACACCGCTTTGGCGGCGACATGGCGCTATCCACACGGCAACCCCCCCCCACCCCCACCCCGAACTGATGCCGGAGCTTCTCAGGTGGACGTTCAGGGCGTTGCTGCCTTGCACACCCCCAACAAGCCGTTTCTTTCCATCACGGGATATATTTCCAGCATCCGTAGTTCGTTTCTCCTGTGTTTTTCTCATGCATGGCGGGAAACCATAAAAAACCTCGATTTCCACGATTGTTGAAAACCCGGGGAATCCAACGAACTATCCCCCTTTTTGAGCGATTGTTCTTTTTTCAGTCCTTTCGGTGCCCGCTGTAAAATCAAGCCTCTCCGACTTCCCGCAACCTCTGTATGGCCTTACAGTAGAAACCGATCATATATTCCGGATGTCCCAACCGATCTAATATTTCCGGCCAGAGGGAGCATTGTTTGTGTGTTCGCTTGTTCGCTCCGACCCTCTGAACTGCTGTAATCTTTACGGGAGGCGGTCTGTCGATTATGGCGGCGTTGTTTACTGCTGTCCCACCAACCACTGTAACCAAGAGGAGCAATGTGCAACTTACAAGTTAGCCCGCGGGGCAAAGGAAACGTTTATGCCACCAAAAGCAAAAGAGAAACCGGTCGTGCAGCAACCTCAAAAAAAGAATGCCAACCGGTCCCCTCAAATTCCTGAAACCGGACAGAGTCACCTTCACAACCTCACATAAAAAAAAACTTTCCCGGTCCTTGGTCTAGTCTAACAAAGTACAGTGTAGGAGAGATTGGCTTCCCTTGAAAAGATGACAGCGCGGCTTTGGTTGTCCAGATATGTAAAACCGACGACATCTTCTCTCGTCTCGATCCCACTTGCTACACGTATCTATCTGGAAGGAGTCCCCCGGGACTCCGTCAGCAAGCTTTTTCCTCGACCGAATTTTTGGAGCCAAGGAGGAAGGGAGGGTCTCGCATTGTCTTGATTGCAGCCCCTTAATTGAACTACGTTTTGCGGTTATCCCGACATGCCTACAACGTGTGGCCGCTCGCAGCACCTGCTACATTACCGACGGCCTTCTCTGCCGAACAGCTACAACCCGGGGCCAAACGGACGGGCAGCATTATCGCTAGAAGGTAAGCGTTCGTAACCCTATTTCAATCGACAATCACAAAACGAGTTCATCTACTTGACGAACGAGCAACGTCTGCACAAGGTCCTACCTGGATTTGAATCTACGATCTTGAACATCCATCGAAGGGTGTTGAGGATACACGGGGGAATCCTACCAGCTTGCTGCGCCGCAAAACGACACGCCAGCAACAAAAAATACAAACTCAAATGAGGGGCGGGCAAGCCAGGATGCCGGAACTTCTTCGTTTTCACCCAGCACGTGCGCGCGTGCTTGAACCACACGAACACAAAAACACACACAAGACCAAAACATGCAAGTCTTGAGTCACGCCCGAAGAAGGCTTGTTTGTGATCCAAGCTCTGGAATCGCTGGCTTGTGCGGAATTGGCGCGCTGCGAAAACAGCACGAAGCATCGGTTGTATGCAAAATTGCGTACAAGGAAACAACGTTTGGTCGCCGAAAATGGGGAGTGCGCCGGGCGAAGCACATCGCACGGAGGAACCGGCAGATCAGCAAAATCTCGCGAAAACACACGAGTTCATTCTCAGTGTCTGACAGAGGCATGCTAGGAGAAGGAACACTACCGAAACTTGTCCCGCGGACTAGAATCCACCCACAGCAACGAATGGACTCAGCAGAGGGAAGCTGATTGAATGCCAGCTCATAGAATCGCAGCTACTCAATCAATGATTATTTTATGCGTCGAGGTGAGAATCCAGCGATCCCGCCCATACAGATACACGGAAGGGGATGACATGAGGGTGTGGGTGGGCGGAACACAACGTAACGAGTCACGAATATCGAACGAACGCTGGAAGGACAAATCGTGTTCGGTCATACAGACCTAATGCAACAATCAACACAGCCCGCCTCAACCCCGTTCCACGGGAAGACTCGCCAGTGGGGCTCCTGAAGCACAAAAAAAACAAAGACAAAAACTAGGCAGCTGTGGGAAAGAGTCATGACACACCGTTATAGTTAAACACTCGTCGTTGGCGACCCACACCCTGCAGCGCAGTTTGTTAGTTAAAGCCCAAGCTACAAGTCAAACCAAAACACAAACGTACCCTAGGAAAGAGCACAACTAACTCGAACGCCGCCATTAGCCAAATACCCCGAACCAATACCCCGAATCGTGTCTAGAGATTTACTTCAAAAGTCGATGTCTGAGTCTTCCTCGTCCTCGTCGACCAACCCCAGCGCCACCTCCACGTCCCCGAAGCTGCTGGCCGCCACATCGTACAAACCCTCCAGGCGTTGCCTCACCGTCACCTTCCCGTGAGAGTACGCCATCTGTGTGCCGACAAGAGAATAAAAAAGTGTGCATCCATGCTTAGTGGTCGGTGTTCAGATGACAACAAAATAACTGATGGCAATGCAGCACCAATCTATCGCGAACACAGGAACCACCGACAGACGCGAGGGACACGGCCCCTATCGCCGATGAATCAGGTGAACGAAGAAAGTCAAGTCGTGGAAAATGCGCCTCTGAATTGGAGCAGTGGTGCGGTGCTTCCGGTCAAGACCGCGTGTAGAATGGTTGTCAGGAGGAAGCGCATTCGTCGGGGACTTTCGGCTTCATCGGAGTTGAACGGCCCAGTAGACATGGGTTATCCGCAAGAGACGCAACACGATGGGTCTAGGGGGGGGTGTGGGCCACACTAACGTTGGGGTGTAGACAACGTTGGACTTGGGAAAAGCTGACCACAGCGCCCAACGGTTGCCATCCCCCTCCACACTGATGAAACACACCAAATCTATCGTTGAACGAGCGGCCACAGGCCAGAACACTGCAGCACAAACCGACTATTGCATACACGATTATTCTGGCTTGCTTCAACCCCTCCCCCCCCGTCGCTGGATCGAACACGTCAACGCCGACGTTCTTCACAAGAAAAGGACGAGACACGCAGTATATACCTTGTTGTGGGGCGTCGCGTTGTGCGGAACCCACGTGAAAAAGAAGAGCTTGTTGGCCTTGCGGCCATCCACGGTAACGATCGCCTGGTCGTAGACCGCGTACCGGCAGTCGCTGTACGGCAGCGCCGCCTTTAGCTCCGCCGGGCCCTCCGCGGGCGCCGCCACCGTCTCCGCCACCACCTCCGTCCCCTCGATTCGCATGGTGACGAACCGGTGCTTGCGGCGCAACTTGAGCGCCTTGAGCTTGTCCTGGAGGTCGGTCGACATCCCCGTCGGGGACTCCGCGCGGTTCGCGTGGGTCAAGGGCTGCCCAGCGGTCTTGAGGTGTGGCTCTGTTACCGCTGTCGTCGTCGGCGCAGACACGGCCGCGGCGGCGCCGGCGGTACCGGCGGCGGGAGCTGGAACGGTCGCTGAAGCGGCAGCACCACCATCGCCAGCGTCCGCGGGGCGCGCGGGAGCGTCCATATTTCTCTCTCCTCCGGCTGCTTCACCCACAGCGGCGGCGGCGGCCGCGGCGGTGGCGGTGGGAGCACTTCCGTTAACCTGAGGGGTTCGCGCCGCCTCCTGTTCTCGTGGAGGTGGTGGTTCCTGCTGTTGTGATGCCGTGCTCCCTTCCTGCCGGGTGCTCTCCGGGTCGCTGTACACTACCCCTTTGCTGGATTCGGACGCCGCGGTGCCGTTACAGCCGTAAGTGCTCTCGCCGTGCGCTCCCGCCGCTCCGTTTCCTGTCACTTCTTGTTGCCCCCCCGCTTCCAGCTGTGACCCCGATTCTTCCGTTGATGCCCCCACCGCGCCTTCCTCTATGGTGACCGGCAACCCCTCCTCCGCTTCCCCAGTCTCGGGATATACTATCCCCTCGCCCCTCTCTTCGCCCTTCGTCTCCTCAACGCCTCCCCCGGCCGCCGCCGCGGCCGCCGCTGCCGCTGCCGCTGCGACAACTGCGTCTCCAGTATCCAGTGCCGCAGACGCGAAACTCTCGGGAGTAGCCGAGCCTCGTGGCGGTGCCGCGTCCTCTCCAGCAGGTGGCTGATGCGGTGGGAGGTTGGACGGCGGGGCAGCTCCCTGGTGACTCACCTCCGGACCTGGAGGCGCCGGAGATGGCTGCTGGTCTGCCGGTTGGGGCTCGACCGGATTCAGCGGCAACAAAGCCTCGGGCTGCGACGAGGAGGCCGTTCGATTCAAGGTGGGCGGGCGGACAGCAGACATCAAAAGACGACCCTCAGCCGAGACACAAGAGAACCAGCAGCGGCGGGGGGAGGGGACAGAGCACCGTACACAGTAGCAGCTTCCACCACAAGGATACAAGATGCAAAGAGAAGTGCGTCCGCAAAAAAGAATCGGAAACCACGGTAGGTTATCTACATTGCAATGTTCCAAAGTTGCCGCCGCCGAAACGGCAAGAACGCGCCCGAACGCCTGCCGCAAGCTGCAACCCAACCAAAGTACCGAGCGGGTAACACAAGGAGGAGCTTGGGCGTACCCTCTGCCCTAGCCAAGAGGAAACCCTGCACTTGGGGCATGCAGACAGCGGCCAATACCTAGCCGGCCGCGCCGGTATGCCACCAAGGATCAACGAGTGCGCAGGCAAAGCAAAGCGCTACGGTCTAGCATACAGAGTCCCCGTGTCGCCACGGCAGCAAAGGGAGTATAACGCGAGCTCCGAGTTGGTTGTTGAAACCTGCGCGAGCTCCGTGCAGTCGTTGCAGAGCTCCACTAACGCTGCAGGAAGCATGGCGAGGGCGTTGGCCCTGAATGCATCGTTCAGCCCCGGCAGGTCATCGATCTGCCCTCGCCATGTTCCTGTACTAGTGGAGCTCTGCATCGCTTGCACGCAAGTTGTACTTCCTTTCCTGCCATAGCGGCGTGGGGACTCAATCCGAAGCGTTGCGCTGTGCATTGCCTACGGACTCGATGATCCCAGGCGGCCTACCGGTGCCTGTGTCTGCTCGGTATTTACCGCTGTGCATAATGTACCCCAACGTTCTTATTTAGTAGCCAGGACAGAGGGTAAGCGCAATGGCACCCGTCCGACACGTGAAACGCATACTCTCCACAGCAGCGTCAAAGGGTGTCGTTGCTGAAACGATCGGCAACCCCCCGCCGCTCTCTTCTTCTCCTCTGACGAAAGTCGACTTACGGCTGGCTGAGCTCCAGCGTCCTCCCCAACGTTTTCCGGGTCCACCTGGGCCGGTGTCACCTCGCCCGCCTCTTCAGGCTCCCGTGCGAGGGCGTTGTTATAAGCCGGCGGCGGCGGCGGCTGCGCCTGGGTCTCCTCCACGAGGCTCCCGGCACCGTTGCCCTCGGGGGCGGCCGGGGTTCGGAACGGAAACGAGCGGAAGACCGCTAGCACCTGGAACGCGCCGGCGGTGGGGTGCGTCGTCGATTGCAGCGAGCACGAGGAACAGAAAAAAAAACTTCTAGTCGGCGAATACAACACAGGCACAGACGGACGATAGCAGCAGGCCACAATGGGAACTTACTCCGTATGAAAAGAAAGGATAAATGCCCGCAGGTACGTACGACCAGCAGCCCGGGGCTACGCGGATGTGTGTCCTGCTGAGAACACACCACTGCGGCGTACGGCAGGAATTCACGGCCTTGGTGTTGTTCTTAGGCGGCGGGGCAGCGACGCCCCCGGGCTTCAGCCCGGCCTGTGGCCTTCCTTGGCGACCGGGCTCGCCGACCGGATAAACGCCTAACAATCCAACTATTTGGAAGCATTCACGGTGAACGAAAAAAAAGAAGGAACGGACGGACCTGCTGCTCCCTCTGCTCCTCCTCAGCGGCAGACTGCGCCTCGTACAGCCCAGAGTTGTGCAGGCACGCGAACGTCTGCCGGAGCGCCTGCTCGTGGCTACCCCCGTGCTCGTTGAGCAGCGAAGCGACGACTTCCTGCAGGCGAGCGTCGGCCTCTTCCATTCCCGTTCTCACGACGCCGGGGGAGTTCGGTCGTGAGCGCCAGTTCTCCCCTCCTCTCAGGCTACTGCCACCGCTGCTGCTGCTACTGCTGCTGCTGCTGCTGCTGCTGCTGCTGCTGCTACTGCTGCTGCTACTGCTGGGTGCGGTACCCCGCCTGTCGAAGCAGTACTACTTACTTGCCGGGCGCGATTCTCGTGCCCTGGATGGCGCTGACTGCCTGAGTGCGTTCTGCGCGGAAAACAACCTGTTGGCCAGCGAGCGGCAAGCGACCAACAAAAAACGACAACATGTTTCATGGGGCATGTACCGCCACGTTCTTGGCACATGACACGATGACACCCTATCGTTCCCTCAGCTCTCGAGAGAGGGAATCGGGGTACAACCGGTCTATTTGCATGCAAAGGAAAGTGACTGTTTCGTCGGCGGCGGCTCCAGTTCCAGGGGACTAATGCCAAACGGAGAGACGACCAACGCTAGCACAGGATGCTCATGATATTCGAGGGGATCCAACGCCGCGGCCATCCGGCACAGTGCTTATCTTCAAACAACTCGGGGTGTTCGGAGTCGGCAAGCTGCAGCGGGGAAACTGTGGCGCACAGGAGACTGAGGGCCGCGGTGCACAGGGCTCTACTGCTGTAGGTCGACCAAGGCGTCGCGTGTCGCAAACAACCCACAGGAGGTTACCGTAGCAGCCAAGCGACCAATGAGCTGCTGCCTACCCGAAGTGAAGACCACGTTCTTGAATTAGTCTTGTTTTTCGAGATACGGCATTGGTGCCTTGCCTTTTGGTTGAACTCCGCCTAGGCTTGGTTTGCGCCCAGACCAATGGGTTTGACCTGGTCGCTAGTCTCCTAGATTGCTATTGTTCCTATTGAACACCTCCAAGGGCAGCAGCATCATATGTCGCTATCCCTCCTGTAACTGACAACCGCGACGACCAAAACTGCACGTAAGGGTAGGTAGGTGTTTGTCTGGTCGGTTGGTCGGTGAAAGAGCGCTCCCCGGCATTGGAGGGGCGCTAGAGTATAACCGTCGACAGACTGAGCAAAATGTTGTACCTCGCGGAATTTACTTATCTTCACGAGACGCTTTGCTACACCGATGTTGAGATGCGTAGCACCTCACGCCAGCGGTGGATGGGGTGTACTCATAGTCGTGCATGCCGTAGTCGTTAGACCATTGACCTCGCACCCCTACAAAGCCTGGACGGAGCACGCCGGGTTCTCACCGGACCAAGCTCTCACATCACCAAGCGCGAAGCGCCGTGAGGTATTCGGCGAGTCGCATGAAGAGTGCGCCGCATCCTGCTAAGGGTGTTCGGCATCTTGTGCTTACTTCCTTGCATACGGATGACAGCTGCGTATGACTTGATTTATTTTCTGGTCTTTCACTTCCAGAGACAGTTGTAAGCACTGTGTAACTGCCTCGAGGGTGCTTGACCATTTTAACACAACGTGGTGCGATCATCCCCCATGCGCGGAGTGAGGGTTCTCGACCCCGCACAACATGATCTATTCCACCACCATGATGGTTACCGCCAAAAAAAAAAAGTAAAAAAAACGGTATCCTAGTTGCCGAGTTCACGAAGTGAATTGGCTTGTTTTACAACGCCATTGCCAAGCGACGAAAACCCATCCCCGATGGCAAACACCAGGGGGAGAAGGAATGCGCTGGATGGGGGGGCGCATTGTTCGGAGGCAAAAACTGACCACGTACTTCCCCAACCTCCAAGGGGTGCGAGGAAACTCCAAAGGACTGCTGTCTTTCTTCACAAGCGGTAGGTGCTTATTGCTTGAATTAGCATCTATATCTTGTGCCGCGGCTTCTTGGGTTGATCCATGGTCAGCGTTCCCTGCTCATTGTCTTCATGGACTTGCCGTGGACATAGGAGCACGATATGTCACGAGTGGGGGCGGGGGGGGGCGTTCTCCATGTGAACACTTGTAGAACAGGTCGTTTACTTTTGATTGTCCTCGTATGTGTGTGTGTTTTCGTCCTATTTATTATGGCGACAGTCCCCCCATATTTCGTGGTGAAACGTGTACTACACATTTCAGCGTATGTAGAGTACTACACTTTTCGGTGTATTTTTTCGTACAACTACAACCATCCAGGGCCACACAGGAGGGGGTAAACACCAGGGCTTTTTTCTTATTTTTCTTTCCTTTCATGCCCCACCTTCCTCCTGCGGTGCGTGCTGAATTTTGTTTTATCGCGAGAAGGGTCCAGCCGTCCCTTTCCCTCGTCAACGGTGCTAACGTCCAAGTGTGGTACTCACGAGAGCTTTATAGCTATATTTCGCTTTCACCCGCAAGTTTCGTACATTTTTCATCCCATGGGGATTCGAACGGACGACCTCTACGACTAGCGGATTACGAGGATACCACCAGACCACCGGGGCGACCGATTGTCCGCGTATGCATCGTGGTCGTAAGAACCTCCGCCTCTCTGCTGTGTGACCCCAGGTTTTCGTTTCTTTTCCCCCTGTTCCCCTTGTGTGAGGCGGCAAGAGGTGGCGTTCTCTATGTGTATTTGCAGGTCGTCTGCTTTTGGTTGTGTGCATACGCGTCGATTTGTAGTGTGTGGGCGTGTAGTTCAGTTGTGAGCACGCAAACGTGCTGCAGGGATTGCAGGTGTACCTCCTCGGGCTTGCGTACCCTTTCCTTGCTGATGGTGTGTGTTCTTCAGATCTTCTGATGGCTCTAGCATTTTTGTGACCACGGACCGAGTCTTTGCTAGAGTTTGGGATTAGCAACTGACACGAGTTAATGTGAAGAAAAACAACAACAAAAATACGCGTATGCATAGTTGTCGTGAGAACCTCCGCCTTCTCTGCTGGGCGACCCTGGGTTTTCGTTTTTTGCCCCCTGTACTGCTGTGTGTATGTCTTCGTCCTATTTATTATGGCGATAGTCCCCCCATTTTTCGTGGTGAGACGCTGTACATCTACATAGAGGCGGCAAGAGGTGGTTCATACATCACAGGAGCGAGGTTCAAACACATTCGTGGGTGCAGCCGTCGGCCCCCGCATCAAGTGCGTGCCCTCCAGAACAGAACACGTGGTACTAAGGTAGTCCAGGTGGGCGCGTTTCCGTGCGTGTGTCAAGGGGCAGAGGAATGCAAGAGAAGGTGTGCCCGACAAAAAAAAAAATGCTGCGGTGTGTTGTACATAACCCTGTTGCTATCGCTGGGCCCTGGGCCCTGAACAACGCTTGTGCGAACAAGTGACAACAGCAGACACACACAGGTAGCCATGAGGTAGGCAGGTGCCAAGGCAGGGACACAGCCCCACCCGCGGTCCACAAGTCGCACGCGTCGTCCAGCGGTGGCACATGTGCCCGTTGTTCCACATCGTATGCTACCACATGCCGTTCTTGGTCATGTTTTCATGTGGGTCGAAGAGACGGGGAGTCGCGGTCCGACGGTTTAGCGCTCTCGACGAGCTCAGATAGGTGTGGCCGGCACAAACGATGGCAGGACTATGAGCGTGTCTCTAGGAAGCTTGCGAGGAACCACAGCGTGGCGGCCAACAACATGGATGCCAAGATGCCAAGAGAAGGTGTTGTGGGAAGCACTAGTAGAGGTCGGTTTCGTCGCCGTGGTACGTATACAGACCAACCCCCAAACCAAAACACAGGATATTGCTCGTCATAGGATGGTGTAAGGAAATACCCAGCGGACTAAGGGGGTCGCCAAAGTCCGAAGCAGCTCCAAATGAATGATATGTGGGGGTGTATCTCTTGCGGGCTCTCGGGAAGCTCCTCTCTTTCGAGCGAGGCCACGGATCGACGACGAATACAGAACCAACAACAACGGTGCGTGGTGTGGAAGTATTTTCCTCTGTCCCGTTTAGGGCGAGCAGCCTCAAACCGAACCGCGCTACCGATCGACCATCACCAACCAAGCCGACGCGATGCCCGTGCGACAAGTCTATGAGTCTCCGCCTCTCTCACCTGCAATCACCGCTTCGATATATTGGCTCTTCCGCCTCTCCTGCTGTGGTCCAGTTCCAGCGGATGCACACACTGCCTGCATATCTGTTCCTCGTGGAACTTACGCTTAGGGGCTCCGCGGCTGGAACTCACCTTGCCCTTAGGTATGTGGGGCAGTAGCCCTGTTGACCCCCCACCCGTGTGCAAAAATCGGCAAAATCCAGCCAGGTCCCGCTGCTGCCAGTGGCCTTTTCCTTCATCTCGCTCATGTCTCGGTTGCAGACCGAGGGGCACACGCAGAGCTTGCGGGAGGTGCACGAGCGCCTCGTGTCCTTCGTACAATGCCACACCCAACTCGCCAGCTCTACGATCGGCTTGGCTGACTCGATCCTGGACTTCTATTCCCCGGAGGTGTGGTGTGGGTGCTGTGACAACAAATAATAATAGTGTGTGTTTGTACCTTGTGACTTTTGACGCCCTCTCACGCGCCGAAGAAAATGTGTGCGTTGTTTGCCGAAAAGTAAGGCGTATATATCTCACCTGCCGAGATGGACCCAGTTTCCCCCCCCGTCCCCTTGCGACCATCCTCATGGTTGTCATTTGGGTTCAACGGAGAGAATATCCTTACGTGTTGGTTGGTGGCTCCCGGTGTTGCTGTGAGGGCGGGTGTATGCAGCTTTTTGCGGGCATATATAAATATGCGAACGGGGGCAGCATGTGGGATATTTTGTGCCAGCGTAGATATGCAGATGCGTAGATACGTAGATACGTACCACGCTCGTCGCGCTTCCGAATACCCTTGCACCAAACGGGCGCGCACGCACGCACACAACAAGTGGCAGCGCGTCACACTTGCGGCGCTTCATCTCTGTTTCGTCCCTGAAGTGTCGTGCGGGAGAAGAAGAGACGAAAAACACTGGCTTCGGTAGTGTACAAATAAACTTTGGGGTGTGGTTGCATCACCCAAGAAGACCCATCAACCTGCTGTTAAGATTTATGTACTGTAGGCATGCGCCGCCCTTCTGCTCCTTTCCACGCTTCCATCGCAGCCCCGGCATGATGGGCGAACAGTAGTACCGCTGCAGATCGGTCTTCGTCTCTGCACATTTCTGTTTTACAATTTTTCCAACACGGCCTTGAACGGGAAGGACCAAAGGGCGGTGTATTCTCCGTTTTGGCGCTTGTACCGAATGCAGTTCAGTTGTGAGCATGCAAACGTGCTGCAGGGATTGCAGGTGTACCTCCTTGGGCTTGCGTACCCTTATCTTGCTAATAGTGTGTGTGTTCTTTAGATCTTCTGATGGCTCTAGCATTTTTGTGACGACGGACCGAGTCTTTGCTAGATTTTAATTTTGGGATTAGCAACTGACACGAGTTAAATGTGAAGAAAAACAACAACAACAACCGAACGAGAGCGGCAGTCAGCTGGGAGCGGTCGCTTCGAAAGTCGTTCTTTCCGAGGTTTTTGGGTTAACCGCATGATGAACGATCTTGCGGACCTGCTTTCGAGATCTCTGATTGCTATTGTCGAGCCTCAAAAACTTCCTTACGCACGGCCTCCGCTCGCTGCTGTGTTATCCTTTTTGCGCCGGTTTGCTCGCTGTATCAAAATAGGCTAGTCTAATGGTGTATTTGAAATTGGTTATTTGTTTCCGTTCGCCTCTTGGAATCAATTCTTTCTTCGTTGGAACGCGGGTGGGGAGCAGGCGGCAGCACTGAGGGGTATTAATAACGACAAAAAAAATCACGGAACATTTCACGGAATCGTTTTTTCTTGAACATGAAAGCTTTTTTCCCACGTGAAAAGAAGTAGCCGGGATCTCTTGGGGCTTGCTACTTTCACGGATCCGTGTTTTTGACAGAAGCATCGGACAAGCGCACCGCGGGCGCTGTAACATCACTGAGAACCCTAGAAAGACCTGTCAGACTCACATCCAGGTCGAGTTGGATACAGACAAGCAGCAGAAGTGGCGTTCAGTCCGTTCTTGGTCCAAAACTAAACATTGCGTAGTGCTCTTGGCTTCAACTGCTGCTGTTGGTGCTGGGGAATTTTTTCAATTACACATAGCAAACACGGAAACAGTAGAACGGGTACAGCAGCAGCACCAAGACCTCCAACGCGCTGATTCCTTCGGTCCAGCTGTCTATACTATACCATCTCCCGTCGCCGTGCTGCTTCGTGGGTACTGGGTGCTTGGGTGCTGCTCAATAAGGTGTATGAGAGACGTGTGCTACCTCACCAAAATGCCGTTGGAAAAAATGCGGCGAGATTATCTGTTTTTGGTCGGACACATCAACATCAGTCCACGGCACCACGCAGCAGAAGAGCAACAGGGCCTCCGACACGCTAATTCTTTCGGGTTGGCCATCTAGATGATGCTGGCCGTCAGCGCGGCTGCCGCCCAATGATTGTTGAGCTCGTCTACCCTTGGGCAGTTGGTGGTCAGAGATGGGAGTCGCGACCGTGAAAAATGAGCTGGCAAACTGAAGAAATCGTGAGCAACACCCAGGTTGCGACACTCTGCCCTGCGCCTGTTGCTGAAAACTGAAAACAGCAGGCCGGGTGGATAGGATCTTTCTAAGTGTGTTGTCCTCTGTGTCGGTTGCTGCTCATTGCGCTTGTACCGCTGCTCTATGGTGAGCAACGCCAAGTCAACCTGTTGTGTGCCGAGCAAGGCGTGTATTCAGGGAAGGAAACGTACTTTTTGCGATTACATCACGAATAGAACAAGCGAAAAAAAGTCAGGTTTTATTTTCACCGTTCCATGGAAAATTGCACGCCTTTTCCGAAGCGTCAATAGCGAGCCATGTGGAAAAGGCTCAGAATAATGTTTCTTGGTTTTTGAACGAGCCATTGACCACAGCCGATCAGACTGAATGCCGGGTCTCTGTGTAGGACGGGTTGCCCCAGTGCCATCGTAGTGCACCGACCAACTGCATTTACAGTCGACCCCTCGTTAAGGACGCACATGGTTTTTCCCGAAAAAAAGACGTCCTTAAAGCGGGGTTGCGTCCTTAAAATTCAGGGGACGATAGCTCACCATCCCCAGGGTCAATGGAGGCATGCTTTACCTCAAACTACGCGTCTTTTACTACGGAAGGGGGTGGTACGAAAAGTCAGCATCGCCGCGACGACTGGCAACCGTTTGTTGACGTCGAACATATTTACATTACTTGAAATGACATGTACAGCAGTCAGGGACGTGTTGAACACAACTACATACAGTGCACGAGTTTGAACTTGGCCAACTAATGTACTGTTTCGCTGGCAGCGGAAGAAGGAGGAAAGTCCAAGTAGAAATATATTTATGTCATCCTCGTGAAACACAAAGAAGACGAGCGTATTCCAGCGTCGCACCGAGGAACACCAGTACAAATCACTGTCCCGGCGGAGACCAAGCTACCCTGACGGCTTTTCCCTCCTCATATCGCGAAGAGTTCCCTGAACCTCCCCCCGTGGCTTGGCTCTACGGCTCTGTTGAGTTTCATGAGTAAACGAATGAACGGTCTTCGAAAGAAGAGACGGTACTCGCCACCCCTTCCCTTCGCGTACAAATAGGATTGAACGTCCTCCAAGCGAGAGACAACCTCGCACTCGGTGAGGGACGAGGCTATGCACGCCTTCGGCCTGCCGTCGCCGTCGCCCTCTTCGCTCGATACGTCGTCGTCCATTCTAAGCCGGCGAGATCCCTCTCTACTGCCTGCAGTTCCAACTCCACCTCCACTTATAACACCTCGGGGTCGTCCTCTACCGTAAGCCACGGNCGCCACCCCTTCCCTTCGCGTACAAATAGGATTGAACGTCCTCCAAGCGAGAGACAACCTCGCACTCGGTGAGGGACGAGGCTATGCACGCCTTCGGCCTGCCGTCGCCGTCGCCCTCTTCGCTCGATACGTCGTCGTCCATTCTAAGCCGGCGAGATCCCTCTCTACTGCCTGCAGTTCCAACTCCACCTCCACTTATAACACCTCGGGGTCGTCCTCTACCGTAAGCCACGGCTTGACCGCCGTTCGGACTTCCTGCTCTGTGAGGTCTGTGCCCTTCTCGACAAACAAATTGTCCGTCAACAGTCGCGGAATGGACCTATAGTCCGTTACGCTAGCTGGCATCGACATTTTTGAGACCATTTCACAAAGGCCGTCGATGATTGCCGCGTCGTCCTTGTCCTCTCGGTCAAGCCGCATGTCCTTGCCCTTGAGAACGTTGCAGTGCTCCCTGGGAAGGATGCCAGCCTTGGGTCAGCACCTGATGACCGTCTGAACGTCGAAGCTACGCCACTTCTGGGAACAGATTTCCGTGACGTCCAGCATTGTCGCCTGTCCTGCATCGCGGAGGCCCCGGCAACCTCTGCCGAAACGAAACACAGGGACGGATGAAAGGGCTAATGTCAAAACCAGCTCGACAGAAAAGTTGAAAGAACACCATTTTCAGAGCCTTCGCAAGACCTGGGACGACGGTAACAAAGAGCGCCCCTTCATTGTTGTTATGAATTCACCTTTCGATTTTCCGTGCACGGACGGTGTTCCAGTCCTCGATGAGGTCTGCCAGCCTTGCCACCACCTCGGTCTTGTACTGGCACTTGAGTACAAACAGGATAACCATGTCCATGGGCTGGTAGACAGAAGTGACGTTCGGAGGCAAGAAGATGATGACGATATGCGGGGCAAGAAGTGGTGCGTGCAAAGAGCGGCCCGCAGGACACAAAAAAGGGGTTACCCCATTATCGTACATTCCGCCGGGCCCCCTGGTGCTCAGAAAACAGTTTCATTTAAGCGGGGATTTTCCTTAACGCGAGCGTCCTTCTAGCGGGATTGACTGTACCAGAAACCCGGGCGGCTCTTTGTGTGTGGTCCGTTCGGGGTAAAATATTTTCAGGTCGGGGATCGGGGCGTCGGGGCCCGGTGAACGAAGAATTAAGAAAGGGGCCCTCCAAGTGGAAACATTGGAACACCCCTAGGTAACGTGTCAATTTTGGTCGCGGTTNGGGGGTGGGGGGGGGGGGGGATAGGCCTTACATGTCCCCGGGGAGGACATTTTGACAAAATCCCTGGGGTTTCGACATTGTTCGGGCGCTTTTTCCAGCGCGCGCGCGCAAGATCCCACACAGAGCTAATAGTGGAATATGGAAACACCCCAAGAATATGCGTCAATCTTGGTCGCGAGGACCACTATATGGTGTAGGAAAGAGCACGACACGAAAGCCTACAAATTAGTGTTGTCTTATGGGTTGTAGAATGCGGCACGAAAGTCCTTTCAGTGAATAGTGTATTGGTTTTACTACACACTAAATCCTATATGATAGACTGCTGCAAGTGAGCCGCCTTAAGTGGCGATCCTGCTTGTCAATCTTGGCCCGGGAGGGGGGGGAGGGGGGGGTTCCACGGTTTCCACATGGAGGGAGGACCCTTGAAATATTGGGTGTATACATCATGCATAATCATAGCACATAATGCATCAGCAGTAGATACATGGAACTTTTCCGCAATACAGATGCTCCTTTTTTCTTTCAAAAATAGACATATCTCCATGAACTGCTGTGTAGCGACCTAAAACATTTCTTACTAACCCCTATCAAAGGTAGATTACCTCCAAAGGGCGGCGTGTCGGAGAGAAAAGGGGGTAGTGAACTCTCAACAAAGTGAACAATTGAGATCGTAATATAAGAACGAGTACAACACTGCTGTGCCACGATATATGTACTACGTACCTCCCACTGATGATTTGAACGTACCTTGAACCCTCAAATATTTTCGTAGCACTGGCTGTGCGTCATCTCTCACGGATGAGCGTTTACTTCACCGGTGCCGCAAAATGTTCACCCACGCGTGCAAGCACCCGTGCATTCTTCTTCCAAATGCATACATACGGTTGTTATTTTGCGGCCTCGCTCGGGCCCCACGTTTCGTTGTGTTTCCTCTGGGCGAGTTAGGACTGCCGTGTGCCAGATTGCGCGCCGTGCTGCCCCTGCTCTGCCGAAGTACATACCTACGTACGCGACGCACGCCTGTTCGTTTTCTTTTCAGCCACGCGTTGCCCGACTTGTGCGGTTCGGCGGTAGCACTACGCATTGCTGTGCTACACACGTAACGAAAACTGCTGTACGGTCTACGGATTGCCCGTGGGAAACATGCGGGCCGCGAAAAATCGAGGGTCCCATCACGTGAATGTTGCTGCTTCCCCAACGCCATCGACTCCCATCCCGTCGTCCCACATGTGGCACTTGTGGCCCCACACCAGGAAAGCCGGCAAGAGGAAAAAGACACTCAATGAACCGACTCTCCTCCCCCGTTTTTTTTTTTTCCCGCCCGATGGTCGGGAAAAAAATGTGGGTTGCGCACAGACATATTGCCGTCGCTCGCTCTTGTCTCTTTGCCCTCGTGGGTGCGTTGTCGTGTCGGCAGGATGCAGGCTTCGCGCCGGCCGTGGCGTTTCAGACCGTCGCCGCAGAAGGGGTGTCCGGACTCTTGTGCGCTCAGCTGCAGGCCCTGGTCCAGACCGCCTTGCGGCCGCTAGCACGGTACGCATACAGGCGTCCCCACGTCCCGCCGACACGAACGAATGACTTATCATAAGTACGCCGGTCCTCCAGAAGGCCAAGTACTGCTGCTGTAGGGTCACTTTTGTTTTCGTGGTTCTATGTCTTTGTGCGTTGTGTCAGCCAAAATTAGCCATGTTTATACATACGTAGGGATTGTAGGACACCTGCCCAGTAGCTAGCTTACGAAGTGTGTGTTTTCCAGGAGCAATGCAATGTAGGAGAGGTCAAAAGGCTGTTTTTTTTTTCAAGTCCGGAATGTGGAGGATAGTGTTTCGCCGTGCCGCCGCCGCCGCCTGTACGCGTCGGCCGTGCTCATGGGGTGGTTGCTTCTGGGATGGATGTCAGGTTCACGGCTGAGCTTGGTGAGATGGACACTTTGTTCAAGGCGTGCCAGAGAAAAAGAGAGTCCGAGCACCACTACGCCAAAAAGGTATGGTGTGGAGGCAGCACCTGCACACGCCCCCTTTGTCTTCACTCAGAGCAGAAGGAGCGGTAGTCTACCGTGGTGATAGCAGAGTGGCACCTCCCCTTGATTGTTGCCCGCTGGGCCTGCCCTTGGAGTTTTGTCTTTTTGTCACGCGAATGCCCTCCGAGTTGTGTTTTTATGTTTAGGAGTATTACTAGAGAGAGAGAGAGAGAGAGAGAGAGAGAGAGAGAGAGAGTTCAACATCGAAGGGGTGGTCGTACCTCAAAACCGCGGACCAAAACGGAATCGAACCGCAACAACTAGGTGAACGAGCTCAACAGCAAGCTCGAGGCGGAGCGGCGAGAGGACAAGCGCGCGGTGCTGCAGGAAAAGGCGGCCAGAAACATCAGGAAGCTGGCGGCGGCGCGCACGGTGCGGAAGCAAGTGAGTCCTCGCGCTGGGAGGGGGGCAGAGGGGGCCAAGCGGGGCGCAAAGCAGTTAGGAAAATGAAAGTATTGGTCATGCCCTCACCCCCCCCGACTCAAGACACTTTCCCCCGACGGTGGGGTTTTATCGCCGACTACAGTAGTTGTGTGTGTATCTGTTGGACGCGTGGATGATCTGGAGTGTTCATTGGGAGAGCCCCCTCCTGCCAAACGTCCCGCATTCCCCTTCGATGGCTCACTCGTTC